AGCGGACTAAAATCCACCTTGTGACAACTGATAGCAGAGCAAGCGGATCAGCGGAAAGCAAAAAAAAGACTGACCCTAATTCCAGCGTCCCTCTCGGCTTCAGCCACCCCAATTTCGGCATCTCGTTTGACGAGGCTGACCTGCGGACGGCCAAGGGAGTCCAGATAGGAGACGTCATCGAAGACGTCCTTTATGGTGAAGCTAAGAATTTCTATGCCCATTCGGCCCACATCGGGCGCAGCGACCTCGCGCACTAGTGTGGCAAATTGATCCCTGTCCTTGGCGGTAAGCAAATGAAATTTTGAGAAGAAGAAGAAACTTGGGAATTAAAAAGAGAATTGCGCTAGCAAGCCTTATATTGAGCAGGCTAAAAAGAACACCAAGCTTGTCTTACCTTGTAGACAGCTTCAACCGTTAGAGTACCGAGGATAGCCCTCAAATGACCCTCTAAAGTCTGAAGGATGGTGTTTTTGATGCGATCGATGCTCAATTCGAGGAACTGTTCGCATGCTCTGGTTAGAAATTCCGGATCAGCCAGTACTTTCACTTGGGCGACACCTGAGAAGACAAGACATGGACAAACGATGGGACTAGGTTAGATGTATTGCGAAAAAAATAAGGATATAAGCTCGCTTATTTGTGTGTGGATAATGGCAAACAGTGTTTGAGTGGCTCAATAACGTAAAGAAATCAGAAACAAAATAAGCATGATCATTATAGGTGTAGTGTGTTCTTGTTGTAGTTATTTCATCGAAAGAATAATAAACGGCCACTGGTATATTACGAAGAGAGTCAACAGGAACGCAACCCAGAAGTAAAAACCTACCTGTCACCGTGAGTGGCACACCCTCAGTAGTTTCCACATGCCTGCATGTAGGATTGAGGGTCATGACTTCGAGGGAAAGGCTGCCGTGGGCAAAAACAAATAAGTTGGGCGGAAAATAGGGAGGAACCTACGTTTGCACATGGTTGAGGCAAGCCCAGGCCCAGGCCCAGCCGCCGATCACGGCCCGGACCCGCTGGCCGCTGAAACAACCACCTGGAAGGCAAGGAAGATCAGAAAAATAAACGGCTCGCAATCGAGAGCTGTGTGAGTGAGTGAGCAAAGTTAAGCCTAGTCAATTCAAAGTGAAAACTTGACAGTGTATCCGTGAAAATACAGAAACTGCTCGAAAAATACTGCCAACGTGGTGACGGAATGATATGCCTACAAAATAAATAACGTTTTGTAGAAAGCAAATAAAGTACATACGGTTTTTTGCTAACAGATAGGCTCAGAAAATCGACATATCTATACGGCTAGCCGGGAAAATTTATTTCAAAATAAAGTGTTTTTGCGCCTCCTTAGGAGGTTTCGAATACACATGAAAACTCCTCCACACGTATAACACAGGACTGTTACGTTATCATAACAATTATTAAAGCATGGACAAAATTAAACAGATACGTTAACCGACTATCAGTGTTAAGTGACAAAATTTGTGATTTTGAGATGCACAGTACAAGTTTAGCACAAGCAGCAGTGAAGGTTAGGCTACATAGCAACCTTGGAAATTAATCGACTACACTTAAGGAAATGATACTCTAAATGCAAAAGAATTAAAATAAACAAAGCCAACTAGAATAAGCTCGTAGTGGATCATTTTGGCAAGTGTTTCAAAACGAGTAAGGCTAACACGGATTTGCACGGTCGCCCTTCGTGAAAGATTTGAAGGACAATCATGCCGACCTTAGAGGCCCAGTGCAAGCGCCGATCGTTGAAAAATCAACATGCTAAAATTAATGTTGGAGGTCCGGACGTCTGGAAAGGT